AAGGATGCCTCAGGGGCTGAATCTAGGGGGAAGCTGAGTGTCATGGGAATGAGGAGGTGGGCTGTGGTGGTTTTGGAATCCAGTTGTAAGTAGCACAGTGATTGGCCAAATCCTGCCTCTTCCCTTCACCAGTGTTGGACTCTGGGGCCAGTGAGCCTCTTGAAGCTTCAGTTTCCACATCTCTGAGCAGGGGGACATCTCCTTCATTGACTTTAGGCCAGTCTCTCTCATGTGGAAAGTAACATTCAACACAGCTGCTGCCACCGTTGGAACTTGCCAGAGACCACTCTGTTCAGCAGTGTCCTGTTCCTTGTTTTGTCCTAGTCAGAGTAATTTTATTTATAGGCATGTGGAGCTCAATCAGATTGAGTAACGTGCTGACTCGCGAGGGCACAACATATGCTAAACCAAAGAGAACATCCCACCGGCTACGCCTGGAACGTGCAGCTGAGGTCAGGCTCCGTACAGTAGGTGTCCCTGCTTGTCTGAGCTCTGGTTGGCCAGAGCTGTTGCTAGGCTGATTCTGTTTTAAGCAAAATTAGAAAGCTGATATGAACTGGTTATACTAGACTCCCTTCTTTAAAAAAAAAGTTCTCTTTCCTGATTCATCTTCATTTTGCAGTTTCAAAACTGTGTAGTTGTAGTGTGAATATGCAACTTTGTGCTAAATTTAATAAAAATACTATAAAAGTACAGCTTTGATTTATAGGTGGTCCTTAGATATTATCTAAGAATACAGGAAAGACTGTACCTCAAAGGAAAATTGCAAGTTGATGAAATCACTTTCTGTTATGGCATTGGTGGTCTCTACAAATCTATGATTTGGGCCTTTGTCAAATTTTTCAAATCTGTGTAGGACTTTAATTAAATGATGTTTTGTAGACTTGAGGTGGATTGGGCTGTGGAGCAATAAGCAACCTCCCCTAATGCCATCCAGTGCAGGGCGCTGCGCAGCGCAGAGGCCGCCCGTGCGGAGCTCAGGAGCTGCGCAAAGCCCTCTTGCTCAGCCTCCTCCTTCAGGATTCCAAATGAGTCCAGACAAGCACTGGCATGGGAGGAAGGAAACACCACCTCTGCCAACCTCCTGTGAGCCTGCTGCTCTTCTTGCCTATTCATGTTCCTTCAATTCTCAGAGAATGTATTTGAGAAATGGTGGGGGGCGGGGAACGGAGGTGGGGAAGATGCCTTAGCCAACCCTGAGGAAGAGGACAGAAACAGCACACATAGCAGTTGCTGGAAGTTTGGTGCTGCAGACGGCACAATCTGCCAGCCCATTTGTTGATTCTGCATGCCATCCTTCAGTTGGCACCATCGTTGCCAGAAACCACCCCCTCCTTTTTCCATCTGCAGGCAGGGAGGGAGGTATTGCGGCAGCGTTCACTCTTCCTGTCCTAAAGCCTAGAGTTTCTTCTTCCAACATTAGGCTTAATCACCTGTGCCATGTTAGGACCCACAGAGATATTGGAATCAAAGAATTTTAGAAGTGGAAGGGGCCTGAGGGAATTTTTCAAACAAGAAAAGCAGCACCCAATCTTCCCAGATTCCACCACATATGACAGTGGATAGAAGTCATTTGAATGTTGAAGAATGAGAATCTTTGAGGATACCTGCTTTTACCTATAGCCAGGGATCTGGTCTAAATACTCCTGGCAAATCAGCAGTGATG